AACTTTGTGTGTCACGTTTATTTTGTTCGTTCCTGGCTTTGCTACTCACCAGCTATGTCTCCTGGGTTGTTCTGATCTGGTAGAAATAAAAAGAGAGGATATATTAGGCTCGAATCACTTCTTAGTATTCTATACATCGAAATCAGACCATCTCTTAAGCTGTGGTAAGACAGAACAGAGGTCCAGCTTCTCAAGGCGCTCTTCATACCGTCGATCTAAGACTTCTGGATTTGCACGAATGAATGCTCTTTGTACTTTTTCCAGGATCTCCAGCTCACTCTTTAAACAATGGCTTGCAGCCTTAACGCAGTTTTCGAGATTGGATCACACTAAGGTTGTGTACAATGTAGCCAACATGTTGGTATCTAACTTGACAAATGGCCATCTCAAAACTCATAGGTTTCGAAACCCCTTAGTCGCGACTGCACGGGAGTTGCCTGTGATCCTGAGATCACTGTTGTCACACAATCAGTATGACATTGAGCTAAAGGCATCGACTCTTTCCCTATGCTGTAACTATTTGCTTTCGTATTTCCAAAGTGCATAAAGACATGTTTGACTGCGTTGATAGGCAACAGTCATCTTTAGACCAGACAATCAAAACATCTAAGTTTGCCTGAAGTGCACATACATCCTTGTCTCCTGTTATTCCTCGCCAGATTTTTGCATTAGCGTATAGTAGTGTAGTGGTAAATAAATCCCCAAAATAAATAGCTCTGTAAATTTTCGACATTGGATGCTGACCATATGTTTTAGTGACTCATCTGGCTGAAGGCGCTCGGTCATGCATCCGCACCAGATCACGTGTGAGAACGCCGTGTTCAACATCTACCGCAATCGCTAGTCAGATTAGATCAGGGAATTCCGATATATTGGCTATCGCCAAATACACTCTTCCGATCTCCTCGACTCTGTCTTTTGATTTCTCCTGGTGGGTACGAATTATATTAGGTGTTACTGGTAGAAGCGTTGTCAAACAGTGAATACCTGTGCCATCTTCAGTAGCATAGAGGACTCAACAATACTTGGGAGTTCATTTACATACAATATGAATAGTAAAGGACCTAGAACAGAGCCTTGCGGTACTGCATTGAATATTGATTTCTAGGAGGAGCACTTGGAAGTTACTCTTACCTGCGACCTACCAAGAAATCGCTCGTCCACTTTAGTAGAGGTTCATCAGTCCCCGGATTTTCTAGTTTGAATATTAATCTATCTCTCTACACCTCGATAAATGCTCTGCTGAAGTCCATTTAGACAACTCTCATTGATTTCCCACTATCTAGAGCATCTATTCATTGCTCTCTTACCTTAAGCAAAGTTGTTGAATAAGACACACTTTTTCTGAAATTGTGTTGTTCACTGTTTAGCAAGTTGTTGTTTTCCAGTAATGTCATCATGGTCTTTTTGATTACTCTTTCCAGTATTTATCTACGATACTGGTGAGGCTCGGAGGTCTGCAGTTTGAGGAAGTTGCCTTGAAATAGATTTATGTATTGGGGTGACAATTACATTCTTCCAGTTCGTAGGTTACTCATCTTGGTCAAGTGACATATTGGAGGCAATATATTGTGTAATTCGTCTCATGACTTAAGGGCTTGGTTCTCTCGGTCCTGCTGATCGTTCCCCGCTTGAAGTGCTAAGGACTTTAGGTTTAGCTTCTCGATATAAGCCATAACTTATCATCTGTAATGATTTGATCTTGCTTGTTGGCTGGAATGCCTCAAGTAGCATATTTTTACTTGGGAACAACTTATTATTGTTCGACTTCGTATTTGAGTCTAGTTCTTTGTCTAGAAAAGGCTCCTGAGTGGAAACTGTCCCGAAATAGATTGCCATGGCCTCCACTTTGTCCTGACCATTCTCCGCCGTTTGAGACCCAATCCCTTCCGTCATTAGCTTGGGAATCCTATGACGAGTCCTTTTTCTAAGATAAGTGTACGAGCATAGTCTCTTCAGCTGTTTGCTTACAGATTAAGCTAATTGCTTTTCATATACTCGTTGATCTTTCCGGATTGTAATTATACACTTATTTCATACCCACCTGTGCTGATGGCGATGTTTCAACATTTCTCCATTGATCTTAGTAAACGCCGAATATCCCGGTGTATCAGGGGATGGCCATACTTCATCTTCTTTGGGACTGTTCACAGTATGGTTAAGTTATCCGATGGTGAAACTGCGGGAAATGAGTCCATCCCTCTTCTACCGATGTCCCTGAGTCAACTATCTAGTTTTCAGCCGAGGATTCAATGTTGATCGTCCTCATGTACCCCTTCCACATGTCTGGACATACCTGTGCAACTGCTTGGCAGGCCATCCCAGCCATGAGCTTGAATAAGATGACTATATGACCACCTCTACCTAAAAGTAAGAGTAAAGTTATTTGACTGACATCATCATGTGTGAAGATTAGGTCCAAGAGAGACGAGGAGTTTTGTAGTTCATATTTAGTGGGGTCTGGAATAAAGCTAGAGTGATAGTGATTTCTTTTGTTGATGACCCCACTTCCAAGTTTCCTCAGTTTATTGATGGTACATTAAAGCCACCTAATATAAGGCTTTTAACCGATTGCATCAGGACTTAGGTCTGCTTAAGGAGGAATCATCCACTACACATTCTAGAGTGTGGCACACTAAAACTGGTTCAGTATCTTACCATTTACATTTCGTCCTGCAGCACACCAGTCCACATGTCTCTGAATCACTTGCCACTGTCTTGTCACCTTGTATAGTTAATGTACTTCCCGCGTTCAGGATAACTCTACCACGCCCCCAGTTTAGTCTGTCAGTCCTACCAAGTAAGAAAACAATCAACTGAATTTTACCACCATACACGTCTGATGTTAACCGTGTTTCTGAGGTGACAATCACATCAAGGTTTTCCGTGTCCACCACTTTTTTAAGCTCCACCATTTTTTTTTCGTGGGCTGTGAGCATTTGCATAGTACTCCCTAGTTTCAGTGAATAAATTTCTCGGAGCAGCCATTGAGTGGAAACCGTCCCGAAATAGTTTGTTATTTTGGGGAAAACCAGAATGTTGATGATGAAGAGTAGACGTTCACCCACCATAAAACTAATTATCGTTTTCACTATAACAGAGCATAAAAATAACCTTATCAGTGAATCTCAACTCCAAGGTAGATATCGTTAGTACACTCCGATGATTCATCCAAACGAATACTATGAACTTAACCGCCTTTCAGTGGCGCTTGAGGACAATGAACTTTTCACTGTGCGCGAAGTGGGCGCACCCATCAGATGACGGAAAGCCAGAATATCTAGTCCACTTTGACGCAAACAAAGGGTCGTACCAGGTTCCCCTCAATAAGTCTCTACTTAAACCGAAAAGGTTGGTGGTGAGCGAACACCTACCTTGGCAAACGAAGGGGTTTGCCGTTGGTTGAAGGTCTCCTCTTGAAAACCAGAGGTTGATCAGAGGGCGTCACATTGTTTGATAGCAGCTCCATTATTATTCGTTCCATGTATCAACGAATTTTCACGTGCCATGAAGTCTGCAATATTTCGTCATTCTGATGATGTCAATAATGGTTGTAAGTGGTGGGGAATCATGTGCATGCACTTTTGTCTAATCTCAGCATCTCGCCAAACTGATTAAAACATCATCAAGACAATCAGGTGGATCTAAGTTTTCCTAATGTTCATAGGAGGCGTTATATAAGGAACTAGCAGACGGTGGTTTAGAAATCACAGTAAGTAAAGATAAGTGGATCAAGATTCTCTACGGTTGTGTGGGAGGCGAATGTTTTAAAACAAGGTGTTAAGAATATCACAATGTCCACATTGATTTACACAGCCTAGTGAGGTTCACATAGGAAAACTACGAACAAACCCAATGATACTGGTTTAAAAAGTTCAGATTTTCTTTGAGGAGTAAAGAGATCAACAAGGGACTCAATTTCAAAGATGCTTGCATCATAATGGTCAACTTCAGAAGCTAGGCCACTCCACTTTATCTTATTGTAGATTAGAGTCATTTTGCTAATACTACGTCACGGCTGCATAGGTTATCCCAGTTTCTGAGTGGATCAATTAGTTTATTTTTAAGAAATCAATATCCGCTCATATATTCACATTGTCCATTATTCGCTTGTAACATGCAACATCTTTAATTGAGAGTGCGTGTATTGCTTACCCTATTCACTACATGTCATCAGTTTAGTTTCTCCTGCTTATAGAAAGTGAGTTACGCTCCATCAGATGGAATCCGTTTGCTCTCCTTCTCCACTCCGCTTGGTTTCGCTTTCTCGCTTGTCAACTTAATATCTACCATAGTTGGCGGGTGGGTGAAACAAATTCATCCAACTTGCTCCGTATTTGGATTTTCATTGCCCGCATCACTCAAATGTGATTATCCCAAGTCTAATTTACAGCATATTCATCCGTTCGTGCAAGTCGGGATCCGGTCACAGCTCACGTCATTCCAAAAATCGATTTCTAGCCTCATCCACTCCATCACTGCATTCTGAATATTACAGGACATCTTGGACGACACAGCTGGGTAGTTCGTAACAAAAAAACGAATAAAAATTCCGTCAAAAACAAGTTTCCTCCAAGAGTATTCAAAACTTCGAATCACTTTCCATGAGAATTATTGAATGTTCAGGCAACCTAATTGGAAGAATAAACACTCATGTAAAAAACTTTATCAAAGATTTTTCAGAAACATCTAATTTTCTGTTCAAAGAACACAATCCTTGATTGGAGCACTATTTCTCTTGAGTTTCTCAATAACTAAAACAAAAGTATGCTCTTATAATTTCCGAATATAAAAAGCAGCATTCTTCATGATCCCAATGCGGATTCCAATAGTGATCGACTCGTTTTTTCCTGTCAACAAAGTTTGGAATTTGAAGCTATTCAATGCAACAATTTTTGGAGTGGTGAGATGATGGCGAAGGTGATTTGTGCCAGTTACTTGTTGGCGCGCTTTTCTCCTGAGATCGTTTGGCGGATCTAGATTTTCGGGCAGGGTTTAATATGTCTGAGAGCATAAAGGTCATTTGCCGTGTAAGACCACTCAATGATCTAGAAAAGGCGAACGACAGCAAGTTTGTTGTATCTTTTCCTGGTGATGGCAAAACGGCAATATCGATTGGAGTAAGATTTTTTGGATCAACATAATTCTTTATTTCAGGGCAAAAACTTTAACTTTGACCATGTAGTACAACCTAAGGCAACCCAGTTAGAGGTCTACGAAATTGTTGCCAAACCAATTGTTGCAGATGTTCTAAATGGATATAACGGCACAATTTTCGCCTACGGTCAGACATCGAGTGGAAAAACATTTACCATGGAGGCAAGAATATCCGTTTAATAACGCTTCGTTCAGGGGATTTTAGGTGACCCAGTCTTTCAGGGTGTTATCCCCCGGATAATACACGACATATTCAATCACATCTACCAAATGGATGAAAACCTTGAATTCCATATCAAAGTAACTCTTGAAAATAATTTTTTAATCCTCAGGTTTCATATTTTGAAATATACATGGATAAGATTCGCGATTTGCTTGATGGTAAGTCTGTCATTCAATGTATATCCTGGCTTAGTTTCAAAGACAAACCTACCTGTTCATGAAGATAAAGATCGAGTGCCTTATGTTAAAGTAATATTTGCAGTTTTTTCTCATTCAAAACCTTAAGGGAGCCACAGAACGGTTTGTGTCCAGTCCTGAAGAAGTATTTGACGTCATTGATGAGGGGAAAGCTAATCGTCATGTAGCCGTAACAAGTAAGTCTCACTTGTAGTTCCCACTACCCACTTAATACTTAGTGCGTAAAACCACTGCTTGCTAAACAGAAGTGTTGTTTACAGTCTCATTACAATAATAAGGAAAATGTTTACATGACAATAATTGCATTATGTATTTACTGTATCTTGCGTTCTGCCTCAGCACGTGCAAGAAGCAGAAATATAGATGTCTTAATGATTTTTCCTAACTAGAAATTGACTTTATTTATCCTTTGCTGTCAATGCGCTTTTGATTGTTGAACACGTAGTAGTTTAAAAAGACGTATTATTGTTTGGAGCTTTACACAATGGTTTCTCAACATACAGGTGTCGCTAATTAAAAAGTGGTATTTTGACATACTTTAGATTGTATCTAAAGTTATAGACTTGAAATTATTGGTCGTGGTATGACTTTTGTATTTGAGGGTCGGTGATATCATATGACTGTCCAAATTAAGGCATCTGAAACACTACAGACACTGCTTCTAGTAATCAATGGTTGGGTAATATAACAGGTTGACTAGAGGCTGTTACTTCAGTCTTAACGATTTTTCTGTAATATTATCCAAGTACTTAAAACGTCCGATTACAAGTCATTTAATTTCAGTTAGTATCTAGCGATAAAAAAGCTACATACATTTGAAACTGAATGATTAAACGTATTTAGTATCAACAGACTACGTAGTGAGTTATTAAGGTCCAGAATTTATTTAATTTTTTTGATACCCATTTCAGTCCAAATATCTTTCAGACTAAGATTATTTATCTTCCTCTGGTATTATAATCTTATCGTTTTATCATTGTGTAGACATGAACGAACATAGTTCTCGAAGTCATTCAGTATTCATGATTACCGTTCGACAAGAAAATTTAGAAACGCAGAAAAAACTCCATGGAAAACTTTATCTTGTTGATTTGGCTGGTAGTGAGAAAGTTGCTAAAACAGGGGCTGAGGGTACTGTTTTGGATGAAGCTAAAAATATCAACAAATCATTGTCTGCTCTCGGTAATGTGATCAATGCACTTGTAGAAGGGAGCGTAAGTTTTACACTTTATTATTGTTTTGGTTTATTTTCCTCAGTTGTGTTAAAATTATCAAGTAATCTTAAGATTAAGCTTTACACTACTTGTATGATTTCAGAATCGTGTATTTTTGTCAGTTGCTGAACGATCGACCACCTACTTAAGTTCATTTGATGTTTATTGACCACGGTGATAGCTGGAGGGAAGCTTAACGTTATCTACTCTTGTTTAAATGGTCTTCGTATACTTGAACTGATTATAATGATTTGGTTGTCCGTCAGAGACAGTGATGTAATCCGAATTCCAGTTTTGAACTGGTTGCTAAACTATTCTGAGTAATGCGAACCAAAAATTGTTTTCTGCTTAGTGTTTTTTTCACACGGTTCGTTTTTACTGGATGGGATTGCTAACCTTATTTCCAATCTTCCATTTATCCTTGGGACCGGCAGTAACCCTAAAAGGGATCCAGGCAGAGTTACATGAAAAACATTGACGTAAACCTAACTGCACGTTGCTAGCATATTTATCGGGTAGATTCTAAATGAACTTTTTGGAATATGATGATTTAAGTTGACTTTTCACCAAGTAAACGATTCAGAAAATAGTTTTACAACGCATATTTATTGTTTAAGTAGTAAAAAATTGTGTACTCAGTAATGAAAATGGAAATGGCAAATTTTAAAGTCCCCCCATTTTCCCAAAATTGAGTACGTTATTTGTTAAGTCAGTTCTCAATAAATTTTCTATTCTCAGTCGCACGTTCCTTACCGTGATTCTAAGTTGACGCGTATTCTTCAAGAATCTTGGGTGGTAATGCACGGACAACAATGGTGATATGTTGTTCACCAGCTGCTTTTAACGATGCTGAGACAAAATCAACTCTTATGTTTGGCATGCGCGCTAAAACAATCAAGAATTTAGTCACTGTAAATGAAGAACTAACTGCCGATGAGTGGCGACGACGATATGAACGTGAGAAAGAGAAAGTTAGGAAACTTCACAATATTGTATCTCGTTTGGAAAGTGAACTGAAACGTTGGCGAGGTGGTAAGTTATTCGCTTGTGTCTGAGAAGAATTCAACTTTTTTCCAGTAGTCTAGATAAAGCTTTGATAGTAAGTGTTTATTGAGTACAGCAACACGAGCAGATATAAATAAGAATAAAACCTTATCAGCGATCTAAAAGAGTGCAGAGTAAATGAAGAGTATTAAATGTCTGAAATCTAGAGCTAGATAAAGGGTGATTAGGTTTTAACTCCTGATCACTGGCTATTGTCAAATTATAAATTCCAACCTAAATTTGTAACAACAGTTCAAAACCTCATAGATTGGTGTTATTTCTTGATTCGAATATTTGTCTCAAAGTGAATCAACGCGTATCCAGCAGTCTAAATATTGCAGGTCTAAGATATTGTCGAACCTCACCAGGTACTTGGGTATGGGGCACATTCTAAGCATGAGGGATAATATACCACCCTGTTTCTCAAACCAAAATAGATGGAGCGGAGTGGCTTAAAGTCTAACACTTTAACCACTAAACTACGGTTCAAATAGTTAGGCTTAGTGCATAAAACTTTATGTAGAATGGAAATTGATTGTCTGTGGTTTCGCTAAAAACGCATCAATAGCCATGTGTCTATTAGTCAGTCACAACTTAGGACCAGGCACATATATGCATCGGCCCAAGTTGCCATACGTCATTGGCACAACATGATGAACACCAAATTCATAGAATCAGTTACTTCAATAGTAGTAATATATAAAATAAAGATTGTATGATGATATAGTACAAGAAGAAAGGATTAGAAAGAACGGTATAAAGTAACCTTAATCTCACGATTTAAGGGAAGACAAAGAACGTATACACCTACTCCATTGTGGTCGATTCTGAGCAATGTCACCAAGAGTCTCCAACCATTGGTTACTATAGTCACGCGGACCCCAACCAAGTGGTCTGTATCTATCAACGTGGCTCAGACTATGAGTTAGTGACTTTAAGGACTAATGCCACGTTTTGGTTTGGCCGCCCCTAACTTTCTTCTAGCCATCCCCAACACTAGTCAGCGTTGCGCGTCGTGGTAATCAGTGTTCAGGCATACGTAACACGTGGCCCAACCATCTCAGTCGATGAGATTCACAACCTCATTAACTGATTTACCACAATTCCCTAGTTCCCTGCTTCTAACCTCACTATTACTTACCTGGTGATCCCAGCAGATGTATCTATCATCTTCTAACTCTATCATATCTCAAAGAAATTGTCCTACAGAAGTACGGTAAAGTAAAATAAATCGTTATACTGTATATTGGACCATCTATGCATAAACATGTGTATAACCATTACTGCGGGTGGCTTCAATTTGGAATAAAAACGGAACATGTTTATGGTTTGCAAAACAGTGGGTTCATTGTATGAATAGTGACTTGATCATGGAATCCCGGGACTAATTATTGAATTCCTAGTTCATAATATAGTAGCGTTTATGTATAGCGGTCATTCATTGCTTCATGGAAGTAAGAAAAACAGATTTTTTAGTCAATCAGTCAGCTACAACGTAGGACCAGGCACATATATGCATCGGTCCAGGTTGCCATACCGCATTAGCACAGCAAGATAAACACCGGATTCATAGGAGTGGTTAGGTCAAAGGTGGTAATATATAGGAGAAAGATTGCATATAAGGATATAGTATAGGAAGAAAGAATTATTTAGTAGAAAAAAGGATATGAAGTGATTTTAATCTCTTAGTTTAGATTTTTTACATCCTCCTAACTATAAAACTAATAATTGATAGTGGCTACACGAGGGCTAATTTTGATTTTTTTTTTAAAATTCATTCATTTGATTATTTGTTATCGAGTGTTAGCTTAGAATAGGGAATGTTATTCGCCAGTAATCATATTTTATTGGTCGATATTTAAATTATAAAACGATGGGACTATTATTCACTGTTGGTCCAGGAGATTAGATCGGTGGGGAAAATAATCTAGGGAGCAATTCAACTGGCCTTCAGCCACACTTCAGTTGTCCACTATCTCCAATCAACCTTAATGGCAAATAGATGTAAGCTCTCCAACTCCTGGTGAGATTGGGAGAGCAGCAGTATCTAATGAACTAGTTTTTGAGGTTTTTAAGGATGTTGGTCCAGTTTTAGCAATTAGATTAACGGAAATCTGGGAACTGGACATAATCCCATCTCACTGGTTTCGGTCGCTCAACGTCCCAGTTTATAAGGAAGGACAAAATACCTCTTGTAACAATCCCAAAGGAATCAGTTTAACTAGTATATTGTCTAAAACATTATCTCCAATAATACTTCTACGTCTAACTAGAGTTCGTGAAAATCAAATCAGAGAAAATCAGTCTGACTTCAGACCTAGACGTAGATGTATAGACCAACTATTCACCCTTCGTCAGTTTCTGTAAAATAAACACACTTTTCTACGTCCTGCTATAGTTAAATTCCCTAACCTTAAGGCTGCGTTCGACTCGGCTGATCATGAGGCTCTGTGGCAGTGTCTGTCATTATAAAGCAAACCAAAGAAGTACATTAGCCTCGTACAGGTTCTCGAACACTAATGGTCGAGTCGGAGTTCTGGCGAACTATTATCGGATTCGGTTGCTTCAAGTGGTATTCGTCAGGGTTGTTCGCTGTCTCAATTTTAATTAAATTTGTCATAGATATCTTTTTAGAGATAACGCTTTCATCATCTCATCAGATAATGCCAACTCGCTGTGCTAATGAGGTATGGCGACGTGAACATGCGTACCAGGTTTTACGTTGCGACTGACTGATGATCATTTTTGTTTACAAGCTAGTTCCTACACTGTATATCATACTTATATCTGTTTGGTTTACATTATAGAATTTCATACTGACTCGTATGATATTCAGTATTAGTCTTCAGTCTTCAGTAATAAGGATAGTAAGTTGGTAAACTTCTGTTAATCCTGACAGATTGCCTCCCAGTGAAGATCCAGCTTCTCTTTGATGGGACTGATACCACTTGTTCGGGTAAGGCGTTCCAGTCATTGACTACTCAATGAAAAAAATGGGACCTCACCCTAAGTTTATTAGATCGCGGTTTGTGAACCTTCTTGTTATGACGTCGGAGATTATTAGTGCTGGAGGGATCAAAAGGATAAGACATATTAACACCCAGATCATAATTTGGGTATTAGAATGCCTTACCTGTGTTGTGTGAACTTAACTCCAAAATTTATATTTCATTATTTCTGAGTACATGTAAGATGAATGTTTACTATGTTGTTATAAATAATAATCCATTTATAATAATTTCCATTATACTTTAAATTTTCAGGTGAATCTGTCAGTCAAACTGAATGGTTTACAGAAACTCAATATTCAGCTGCCATAGATGATGCAAAGGACATAACAACTCCAGATGTATTTCCAACCAAACTCATGTCAGATAGCATTTCGACAACTGCACCACAAAGTGTTCAACTATCAAATATATCTCAAAGTAATTTCATTTTTCTATTCTCTTTTATATTTTCCTAGTTTCATTTTCAAACCCTATCTGTGAATGATGTTTTGATGTCCTATCTAATTGAATTGAGTGTTTCATAATAAATTTGTTGTCTCAAATGGATATAAGCTTCATTCATTTGTTTCTGTTTGTATGTAATTCATTATTATCGTTCATTTCCACATTATTGTGTAACTCAGTCTGTTGCATTATTACAAATCTACATATTTTAAAGTTACATTTTAAACTATGATCTTTGTGTGTTTAACCTTTCTTAATACTCTTTTGTTATGAATTTTGTTTGATAAGTCGAAAATTGCCATCGTTCCATGAAGTCTGAGATCTTTATCACTTGGTTTGCTTTCATTTAATAACTGACTAGTGGTTAGAGAGAAACCTTGGGTAACATTGTACCTATAGTTTGTTCTCTGTAGCACGGAATTGTTTATCATTTTAATCTGCACCTAAATATTTTATTTTAAGAATTACTATCTAACCTTTTCATTCATTCATTCCCTTTTTTAGGAGAGTGTATGTTTTATAACATCTAATCTTTCTTGCTATTATTGATTAGAAAGCTTGACATTTTGGATTAATGCTGTACATTTATACCATCTCCATCATTTACTATCGGCTGAATAGCTAGGGTTAACTCTTTATACACTAGAAATATACAATACCCCACCTACACACATTCATTATGTACAGTAGAACTTCACCTAACATACTTAGCAGCCCAATTTATGATATCATTGGTGGTTATTTGTTTGTTAATTGTTACTTATCATCGCTTTTTGAATCTATCCCTTCCAGTAATTATATTGTCACGTTGGTTGAGATGGTTAGCGTCCAGTCTTAGTCCCACTGTCTATCTGATTGTTAATTGTAGTCAGTTAGTGGATAATGGACAATTTTATACTGTTTCGTTTGACCTTGACAATAAGATCAGTTTGTAGATTTTGTAATTATTCGTATTACATTGTCTATACTGAGGATTGATCACAACTTTGAAAAAACTTACATTGTCGTCCAAAGTTTTGCAACTTCGTTATTTCAACGTATTATTTAAAAAGGACTACTGAATAGTAGTGATGGTTTGCTATAGTTCGAGTCATCTCTTTTCAACACTGGAATTCAAGTTTACTGCCTATAGATTGTAACCACTAAATGCTTCATGTTTTGAAATTGTTAGTTTTCAAATGTTTGTATTTGTGTTATTTAAATTGTTATACTCATGTTTCATAAACCACCTTAACCCTTCTATTGTTATTGTCACTTTCACAGCGCGCACCGGTTCGTTTCCATCATCACGTGTCACTGCCCCTAGTGATACTCTCAGTCCAACCGCGGGTGGTGTCGGTGATGAACAACTACAGTTTCTTTATCAACAACTTGATGATAAAGACGATGAAATTAATAAGCAAGCTCAAACAATTGCTCGTCTTCGACAACAAGTCGAAGAACAAGACGAAATCATCAATACTTTACGTAAAGAACGTGAAGGTCAACTGAAGGAGATCACAAACCTCCAAGTATAATATTTTTTTCGTTTCCTTTGTGCATTTATTTGACAAATCAATTTTTTAATATTGTACACATTTTAGGGTTTAGTTATTTAATTTGGTTGATTCTTGTCATGCTGTACTTACTTGACTTTCACTCATTCTGACTATGATTTGAACACTCATTTTTTCATGACATAACAGTTGTTCGTACATTTGAGAAAATATTGAATAGGAAATGGTAGTGAAAACCAAACAAGAAAGTATCCATTTCACGTAAAGAGACGTAGTCATTTTAAACTGACATAGTTTCCTAAGTTCTCACAACCAGATCTTCTAGTATTTACCTGTTCAGTTTAAATATTGAATATTGTACTTTCACTATTGCACACTTCTGCGAGAACATCTTTACTACTTGAAAGGAATAAATGTATGACTTAATTGTAAGAAGCAATAGCACATAGTTGTTTGAGAGTAGTAGTCTTCACATATGATTTTTCCTTGATTTAATCCCTTGGTGGTTAGATATACTCATAGTTTTATTAAAGAGTAATTGCTTTGATTTTAAATGGTTAGAGGTAGTCGGTTAGAAATTCTGATTCAACTTGCATTTCGTACTACCTGGGACTCACCAATTAATGAGTACCCGAGATGTTACAGAGGATTTGTAACTCAGGTAGATGACTTTGGCAGAGTTTCGTTCTCTGAGTTTGATTGTTTAGTCGTGAATTTTCATTGTTCTTTTGAATAAAATCCATCAACACAACTTCAGGTAGAAAATTAAACCATATAACTCAGAGAACGTAACTCCATAAAGAGATTGCGTGCTCGGATTCTTAAAGGAAATTGTGTCATTCAGCTTCACAGCCTGAGACAATATCATTGAAATATTGAGATCGATGTTGATTGTTTGTGTTATTAGTTCCTTGCTCTCTTCCTTCCCTTTTTTAATCAGTCACTTATTCCGTCTTTTTTTCCATCTTCAGGCTGAATATCAATCGAGTAAAGAAGAGGTTAAAGAAGTTTTACAAGCTTTAGAAGAATTAGCTATGAATTATGATCAAAAAGCACAAGAGATTGCTTCAAAAGCAAAAGAATTAGAAGAAGTCCAAGAATCTTTATTAAAACAGACTAGATTAATGCATAGTAAAGATGGTGAATTATCTCAATTGAAAGATACACATCAAAATCAAAAGAAGAAATATACTGAAATGATGTCTAGTTTATTAAAAGATTTAATTGATGTTGGTGAATGTCTAAATGATCAATTGACGGTAGGTTTACATTTTTATATATATATACTTTTAAATATCATTCAATGAGTGTGGTCAGGTAGAATCTGGCACAAATATGCACTGGTTCGAATTATCACAAACATGACATGTTCAAGATGAATACCAAAGTGGTAATATCAATGATAATAAAAAAAAGATTAGGTATAGTAAATATTATTTGAGAAGAATGAATTCATTCACAAAATAGAAAGTAAGTATAAGATATTGTTAAAACTCAAAATTTAAGGGACAACAAAGAGTAGATAGATACATCTACGTCATCAGTATCGATTCTAACCCATGTCATCCAATGTTTACAACCATATAGATCACGATGATTTCTCTCACCTCAATTAATGTAGTTTTTATCCAGCAGGATAAATCAGATTAACAGTTAACGACTTCATGGCACAATTTTGTATCCATCCAAGTTTAAAACAAATAAATGCTGTCAAAATACTAATAAATCACTTTATATCATTCATAGAAACGAAGTTTATTTACATAACCTGAAAATTAATCAATGTTAAAGATGATTTCATGAGATTTCTGTAATTTGGACTTAGTTGTTATGTTTATTTTTTGATCGATCTTCAATTCATTATGCATATAAATTCCACTGCCAAAGATTTTTGTTTCAATAACTTTCAAGCTACATATATCTTCATTATTTGTAAGGAATATATTACATGAACATTTAACTATTAGAGTAATTCGGACTTAGTGATGATTAAACATTCAACTTTCAATCATGCAGTTATACATTCCAATCAGTTGGTGAGGTTGTGAATCTTTATTGACTGAGATGGTTGAACCACATGTTGCGTATGCCTGAACACCGATTACTACGACGCGCAATGCTAACCGGTGTTGGAGATGATTGGAAGAAAGTTAGGGGCGGCCAAACCAAAACGTGGCATCAGTCCTTAAAGTCACTAACTTCTAGTCTGAACCATATTAGTAGATACAGACTACTTGGTTGGGTCGCGTGACTATCGTAACCAATGGTTGAAGACTCTGGATGACATTGCTCAGAATCGATAACAATGGCGTAGGTGTATACACTCTGTCTTCGCTTAAACTATGAGACTAAAACTATTTCATATCTTTCTTTCTACGAACTAACTTTCTTTCCTATATGCAATCTTTCCTTTATATATTATACCATTGAGTTAATTGCTTCTATGAATTTGGTGTTCATCTTGCTGTGCTAATGAGGTGTGGCAACTTGAACCGATACAGATATGTGCCTGATCCCACGTTGTAGCTGACTGACTCTATTTCACCTATCTTAGTTTAAGCAATTGAGGTCTATCACTAGAGTTTTCACACTCAAAAGAATATTGTAGTTTAAAACCTTGAATATTTGAACACCAAGTAATAAGAGCTATTCTCTACTATATTAGAAAGCGTTGGACATAAAAAAAGTGGTTCATATGTGAAGAAATCAATTATCACACGTATATAAAATTCATTCACTTCAATGATTCACACAAATCAGTTTGATATGTATTTTGATTACATTCAATAAATTAATCAATCAACCAGTAAGTGTCTTCACCCTCTTTCATTGCTATGCTACCATGAAAATGAAAAAAAAGTAGTTCTAGTACACTTAATATACTATCTCTCTCTCTCTGTGTATGTGTTTATGTGGGTGTTTGTTACGGAAGAGAGAGAAAGAAAGCTTATGTATACATATATACATTTAGTTTTAGTTAAGGTAAATTATAAATAATGTAATTGTATACATTCAATATGCAAGAAAACAAAAAGACTAATATTTGAACGATGAATATTCTTTTCGATAAATTCTCTTCAGGTTCTACAAGCCATATATCCAAATTAATAGTCCGAAAAATGATCAGGTTAAGAGCAAAATACATCGTTTAAAGCATGTGAATTTAGGATTGTAATAAGAGAAGAATTTATCGAAAAGACTATTCTTTATTCAAATACTAGTCTTTTTTTAATATGATGGGGATCTTTAAACGATTAAAACAAAAAGACTTCTACCCCAACTGGTGATAAGTAGTAATCGCATATTGATAAAACCATCAAGATTCATTCTGTTTATTGTTTTTAATGGTTTCTTTATGTACATTATTTATTTAGTTAAACACATAAACATTGGTACAAAAAGGCACCGAACAGATATGCGCCACATAAATCATTCAATTTGTGTGAGGATTGGAATACTGCCTGGGTTCCCAGACTGAAGCAGGTGGTTTTCTGAGGGGGTCACACCCCGAGCCTTGGACCTAAAGGTCTGACCCATAAGGCAATGGAGCATCGTGAGGAGATGCAGTCCCATGGTAGCCGGTGACCAACGATTGGTTCATACGCCATTTGTTCCTGCAGGATACTGGAGCCCATGTGCACCATTGGTTTGGGATCCGGTGAAAGCTCCGACATTCGCTTTTCGTCCTCTCAATTTCGTAAACAACACCCCTGCCACGAGAAGGCAATGAGTAGGACTTCCCTGACAGAGGCTATATACGCGTGACCGTGTGAGAACATTTCGAGAGGTAGAGCGGACTCTCCCCACTCTCGGTCATACCAGGGCATTTTGAGGCTAAAAAATATGGAAGGCTTCACGATTTTGCGTGTCATCCTTGCGCAGGGGCCATGCTGATCTCTGTGGGGACTGGGATACTTCCGGGTGCCCAAACCGAAGCAGGTGGTTTTCTTAGGGGCCACACCTAGCGTCTTTCATCAAAAGGTCTAATCCACAAGACAGTGGAGCAACGTCAGGAGATGCAGTCCCACGGTAGCCTGTAACCAATAATTGGTTCATACGCCATTTGTTCCCTCAGGATACTGGAGCACATGTGCACCATTGGTTTGTAATCAGGGTTTTCCAACTCCCCTAGGTAGATCCTCCGTATCCACCAACCTTGAATGAGTTCAAATAAATACTTAGCTCATGTTATATTAATAACTTAAATTTTTAAAATATCAACTATTAAATTTCCACATTACAATGATAAAAGAAATGTACTTTTACTGCAGAAATTAACTTCTGATAAAAACTAATTTTTGGATGACATCTGAATTAAAACGTTGGTAGAGTGTTATTCCATTTTGAGTCCCAAATATTCAGTATTGTAGAATGTCTTTATGCGCTGAGCTATTCAAGTTGATATTTTAACGTTTAGAGTGAAAGGTACGAGGCTCAAGTTTCAATGTAAATGTTAACACTAGGTCAGTCAGTCAGTAACAACGTAGAACTTCGTACGTACGTACATCAGTTCGAGTTGCTATACCACATTAGCACACAGATGCAGTTGTCGACTCAAATTCCGTAGTGGTAGAGGTAGTAAGGGTATAGGCAGTAATCGGAAACATTAGGGTTTGAAGATGTTGTTCAAGGAGTATAATCCAGTGAAATAAATTTGGAAATAGAAGAGAAAAGGGACATAAAGATTTCAGAAGATTAGAATTTGGGAGAACATAAGAGTGGATGCACCTGAGCCATTGCAAACGATTTTGAGCCATGTCATTCAGGGTCTCTAACTTAGTTAACACTAGGACGTAGATACATCTTTCTTCTATTTTAAAACATGATAATAGTAAACTAGTAATAAAGTTGTTTTTTTACAGTTGTGTATTGATTAATAAGGAATGTTTACATCACTAATGATTTTCTTTAATTGTTTTTTTTTTGTCTTCATATATCATAATAGAAACCATCTGTTGGCGCTGAACGATTAGATGAAGAATTCACTGTAGTTCGTTTATATATAAGTAAAATGAAAACTGAAGCAAAATCATTACAATCACGTGTACGTCAATTAGAAGAAGAACGTGTTCAACATGTACAATTAATGCGTAAAAGTGATGATGAATCAAAAGATCTACGTACAAGAATTCATGCTGTATGTTGTGTTCATTGTTGATTATTATTATTATTAATTCATTCCTGCCATTAATTATATCTCTGATTAGTCAACCAAATAGGTAAATGGAAATACTTGCTGAACAATCGTTCCATCTTTTATTGTAAATAATTTAATCTTGTAAATTTTACTACCAATGTACTATTAGTACATTCATAAGAGAATGAATGTAATTCGAACAACTAATACATTTGAACAATGAGTGAACAGTATGAAAGTTAGAGAGAAAGAAATAAAAAGACTAATCTCTACAAGAATACCAATCAAATTAAATGTTTATCACATACCATTGAATCAACATAACATTTTCACGACCTTTTACCTGCAATATCAAATTATTTCATTAACTTAAAATAATACTGATAAAATTGATGTTCTTTGAGAATACAATTCTATTATCTTTTATTTTGAAAATCAACCGATGAGTAACATACTTAACCTAAGAGTTAATTTTAAATAAAGATGAATGATGGCTAATAGTGGAAGTCAGGACGCGGGTTTCGTCCTATTTGGGACTCGTCAGCTGGATGTAAGTGCATCCTAGGGTTGGTGCTTACTACGGAACTCGAACCCAGTACCTTTCGCTCCAAACTCCATCTCATTGTCCACCTAGCTACTGAGTCCAGGTAGCTACCAATTTATCCAACGGTTATGTAGATATTAGTGGCTAAACAGCTATATTATGGCAATCCATTCAAGACGTACATATGGTGATACAGACTGATTAATTGCAGTTCTAAAGAGCAACAACGGGAAATCACAAAACTCATTACTAATTTCCAGTAAAGTGTTTTGGAGATTGTTGAATCTCATTTCGATCATGTATCGATCTAAGTTAGATCACCAGGTTTATACTGGTGCTTAATATCATACGGAATTCCTATAATGGATTAAACTGCAGAGTCGTGCATGGAGGACAGTTGACTGACTCGTTCGAGGTAAAGACCGGTATCAGGAGAGGTTGCTTACCCTCACCCTTCCTCCTCCTGGTGATCGACTGGATCATGAGGACGTCAACATCTGAGGGGAAGCATGAGATACGGTGGGCGGCTAGGATGCAGCTGGACGATCTAGACTTTGCGGATGATCTGACTCTTTTATCGCATATGCAACAAAAAGCGCAGGAGAAGACGACCAATGTAGCAGTAGGTCTCAACATACACAAAAGGAAAAGCAAGATTCTCCGATACAACACAGCATGCACCAATCCAATCACAATTGACAGATAGGCTTTGGAAGATGTAAAAACCTTTACATATTTAGGCAGCATCATTGATGAACACGGTGAATCTAATGCAAATGTGAAGGCGTGGATCGGCAAAGCAAGGGCAGCATATCCACAACTGAAAAACATCTGGAACTCCAAACAACTGTCAACCAACACCAAAGTCACAATTTTCAATACAAATGTCAAGACAGTTTACTTTATGGAGCGGAAAGTTTGAAAACTACCACAACCATCATCCGGAAGATACAAGTGTTTATTAACAACTGTCTACGCAAAATACTTCGGATCTGTTGACCAGAAACTAGCAGCAACAACCTACTATGGGAGAGAACAATCCAAATTCCAGCGGAGGAAGAAGTGCTGGAAGTGGATAGGACACACATTGAGGAAAGCACCGAAGTGTGTTCTAGGGCAAGCCCCTCATGGAATCCTCAAGGCCACTGAAGGTGAAGAGAAAGACCAAAGAACACAGTACTCTGAGAAATGGAGATAGACATGAGAAGAATGAACAAGAATTGGGTAGAACTAGAAAGGAAGGCCGAGGACAGAGTGGATTGGAGAATGCTAGTCGGCGGCCTATGATCCATTGGGAGTAACAGACATTAGTAAGCAAGTAAGTAATACTGTTGATCTAACTTAAATTGGTTCATAATCTCTATAGCATCCATTACTAATTCTCCTTTTTTAACTTCATAATTCAAGAAATAAAAGTTATTAACTAGGATATCGATTAAATACATCTGATCTACCTAGTCTAACTCCACATTTTTTGGTGGATGCGCAACTGCTGAGGAGTCCTATGCTTAAGACGAAACGGTTGTCCAGTGCTTTCAAGTTTTCTATAGTTGTGGTCTAGCTTCAATGAACTCATCATCACAACTATTAAGAGTCTTTATTTTCTGTTGACATTTATTATTTCTTGTTTAGAAAGTCTAAATCTATGCACCACTTAGAAACAAATGTGTTAGTAACATGTGATTTAAATAAATTTGTTTAACTTTTTTTCCTTTCTGAAAAAAAAACTCATATTTTAGTTTGAAGTAAAAATTGCTACATTAACAGATAAAATTGATGAATCGGAATCACGTAAACGTCATTTACAAGAAACTGTTGATAATATGAATGCAGAAATTGCTAAACTTCGTGCAAATGAACAATTTATGTCTGGTTCAGGTGAACAAAATGAAAAAATTCTATCTGGACAATCAGTTATACGTGCTAAATTAGATGAAGAATTTAAACGTCAATCGGAACATTATGCTACACAAGTGAAAAGTTTACGGGATGAATTAGATGAAAAACAGAAAAAATTAGAAGAATATAAAGAGTAAGTTTCTTTTTTTAAAGATGATTTTTTTATGACATGACATATACTGTAGATTTTCAATCATGGGTACGTTTAAAGGATTGTTTACGTTTTGTGAAATGACCCAGTGAATAAGTATCAAGGTTAAGGGTTAGGTGTTAGACAAAGATGCCAAATCGGTTGTTGAGTTAGTGAATGTTCGTTGATTTTGATGCTTAGGACACATGTGACATATGCCTAACTACTGTCAACATTTGACAGGAGTTGTTAGTATGTGTAGGTGGAATGAGTTGGAAGAAATTCATGGCAACCAACCAAAATTTGTCATCAATTCATGAAGTCATGACTACTGGTTTGAACCATGACTGTTGATGGAGACTATGTGAAACGGATTCACTCGACAATCGCAACCAGTGGTTGGAGACGTTGGGGAATATAGTTGAAAAACAGTCACCATGGGGCTTGATGCATTCATTCTAGACTTTGAATTCTAGTATTCCTTCACTCAATGCTTCCGAACCACATTCCCGTTATCATTAATGCCACAATTATTTTGACCCTTGTTACTCATCTTTTTACTTTTATCTAGTCGTACTAATCAGATGTGGAAATTCGGGTTGATGCTCATTTGTGCCAGGCTCTACATTGATTATAACTGAATAACTTACTTGATGTTGGAGGAGAGAGGTTTTCCCAAAGTGATTGGAATAAGTCAAAATCGACGTAATGGTTTATGCGTATATATCTATCGGTTCAATGTTCTCGTATAGATTTAGCACGGCTGAATAAAATAAACACAGTGTATAGTAAAGGAGCAGTAGTATCTGTATAACAGTGTCTGTGATTGTGAAAACAATCAAAGAATCCATACACCTGTGCGACTTCAGTTAATTATAAGTTATGGTAACTGGAGTCTACACTCTGGTCACAATTATCGTCCGTATGCCAATATGAAAGTATATACCTACCAGCAAGACATTAATCAATGGTCTCTAGTTTCATGGATGGAAAGCACTAATGCCCCTAAATTTCTTCCGTCGTAGTCTAGCACCAGCCCCCATATAACATGTCAGGTAGACGGTAACTTGGCATGTGTACGGCAATAAATTCTTTCACATTGTCGAGGTGACTAATTAAACCATTCAATTTTCATGAAAAAATATTGAGTCCTAACACACTGAGACGACCTGAAAATGAAAACAATGACTGAGTGTCACCAATCGTAACGAAGTGTTCCTCTTAATTTTTATCAGTTGGTGTACGGGTGCATAAATGACTGGTCTCCCAAGGATCCTATATCAAAGGCATTAAAATTTCTAATTATTTTTGATATAATATAACAAAAGACAAAAAAACAAGTTGATACCAAGTTGAAGTTATTAGAGTTATGAGAAGCCGAAAAGTGTTGCGTTCATGACAATTTATCATGCTAGTCACTATTAGCAACAATGCAAGCTTTTTCGGGATGCGATTCTCCCCCTCGAAATGCAAAATTTTGCTTCAGGATTGGGTTACATCGACACCCGAACTAGTGATAGGGAGTGAAGTAGTTGAGCGTCTTGACCGCTTCACTTATCTTGGAAGTCTCATCAGCCCGTGTGGTCTGGTGTGTGTGACGAAATCTCAGCATGGATACAGAAGGCTCGACTAGCTTTTGCCAACTTGCGTCATTTATGGCGTAGGCGAGATATCCGTCTATCAACCAAAGGACGTGTTTACTGCGCAGCAGTTCGTTCCGTCCTATTTTATGGCTGTGAAACATGACCGGTAAGAGTAAAGGATATTCATATGCTACTAGTGTTTGATCATAAGTGTCTTCTGAGGATTGCTCGTATATCCTGGGACCATCGAGTAAGTAACGCAGTTGTTAGGAAACGAGTACTGGGTAAGGATGACAAATCGATTAATCAAGTAGTGAAACTTCATCAGTTGAGATGGCTGTGACACGTGTTACGTATGCCCAACCACCGACTGCCTCGACGTGCTATGTTCAGTGGTATAGGAGTAGGTTGGAAGAAAGCTAGAGGCGGCCAGACCAAAACATGGCACAAATCCATGAAGTCACTGACAAGTAGACTGAGTCATGTTGGTAGGTGTAGACTACCTGGTTGGGATCTGTGAGACAATAGCAGCCTATGGTTAGAGACCCTGAATGACATGGCTCAAAATCGTTTGCAATGGTTCAGGTGCATCCACTCTTTGTGCTCCCCTAAATTCTAATCTTCTGAATTCTTCATGTCCTTTTTATCTTCTTTCTGAGTTTATTTCACTGGATTATACTCCTTGAATAACATCTTCAAACCCTAATGTTTCCGATTACTGCTTATACTCTTACTACCTCTACCACTATGGGATTTGAATCGACAATTGTATCTCTGTGCTAATATGATATGACAACTTGAACTAATGTACGTACGTACGTACGAAGTTCTACGTTGTTACTGACTGATTGACTAAAGTTAGTCATCCTGTAAAAGAATTTTGAATGGTTTTCTATAATAAAAATTGTTGTTAGAATTAAGGTGAAAGTAGACCTGAATACTATTTTTAAAAGAAATGAAAACATTGGTATCACAATCATTTTAGGCTTGCATGGATTTATAATACTCGTTTGTATGTGAAGTTTCTTGAAGGCCAAGCGTTTGTTGTGGGCGGCGTATGCTCCTCCACGAGGAGTAACAGGCGTAAGTAAGTAAGCGCTTGTTGTTAAACCTGAAATTCCTAGATCCGGTTCCCCGTGAGGTTATGGATGATCACTGCTTAAGAATCTCATACTAGGCGAAGAGAGCTGTTCAGTTCTTCCTAGTTCCTGATTTTTGTCTAAATAAGGTTTACCAGCAATGTAAATTTCAATATTAAGTGACTTCTTTTTATCTATGTTTATTTAAGAAACATCAAATCTTCATTTGTTAATGATAAACCACGTTGTTTGGCATTATTCATATTTGTTTTTATGCTAAACTGTCATTTCATTAATTTTTATGTCTTCCTCACCTATCCAACTTTGTTTTTTTATAGTGAAGCAAATAATTTCAAATTCCAATCAGAAAAATCTCAAGAAGAAGTTACACGTTTACGTAAAGAACTAGAAGATAAATCTACACGATTGGAAACATTGGAGAAGACTACAGAAAAACGTGAACAAGCAAAAGAAGATCTACGCGGTTTAGAAGAGACTGTTATTAAAGAATTACAAACATTGCATAATCTAAGACGTTTATTCATACAAGATCTTAATTGTCGAATTAAAAAGGTTAGAGTTTTCTCATCGTTTTTGTGTTTTGTAAATGATAATTTATATATTCTGTGTTATTATGTTATGTAACATGAATTGAACCCGTGATTCCCTTGGTGATTATAACAATTTGGTGTTTGTATGAACCATCAAAAAAAGTCGATAATTTCCCTTTTCAACCAGTCCGAAGGTTTCAATATTTTACATAAATTTAGATCCACTAATATCATTTTATACTTGTATTCTGGTCATCATGATTATCTACTTCATAATGTATGTCTACTTGAAACTGAGTACTTGAGGACGAATTGAATAAGTCAATTTTTTCTCCGCATAATTTACTTCTAGGGGAAATGCTTTTATTGCTGTATTAACTAAAAGCGTAAAAACCCAATGTATTCACTTTTGCCAGTCTTTTCCACGTTATCAATGACTTTGTTATCGAATTAAATAAATTAACATTCAAGTTATCACAATATGTCAACTATAGCACTCATTCCATGTAGATTTATAGTGTTGAGGCTAATCGATCATAACACAACCACATACAACGATTGGGTATCGTGCCGCTAATCGGTCGACACAGCTTCTATCCTTAAAGACTAATGTGAAATCGAAAATAACCAACCGAATTATTAATGATAATTCAAGAGAGGTTGAACATTTGACAGTAGTTCATAAGACAATTGAATCTTTACAATTAGGGCAATATAGAAAATACCATATCAGTCAGTTATATGTAACATAGAACCTGGTAAGTGTTTACACCGATTCAAGTTGTCAGCATATATTAACTATTTAGTGAATACACAATTATAATTTCCCGTAGAGTAATTCTAGAATTTTCACCCTTTTGTAATTACTCTTCTGTATGCTAAAACTGCGAAGTACTGCAATGTTGTCCCAGTGAATACAAATCTCATCTGTTGTTTAATAATCCCACTGATTCCGCCAGCGGTAATACTTTTCTAATCCTTCTTTTTCTATCTTATTCAGTCTGCTAATCGTGTAAATGCGTTAACTGCAGCTGAAAAAGCCACTGCTAATAATAATACTAACCAGGGTGGTAATACACCGAACACTGTTAGTGGTATACCAGGTCAACAACAAATCTCTGAAAGTCTACTTATGGATGATGACGATGATGATGAACCAATTCAAGTTGGTACATTAGCACAACGTGAAAAAATTGCATTCCTTGAAAATAATTTAGATAAATTAACGAAAGTACATAAACAACTTGTTCATGATAATGCAGAATTACGTTGTGAATTACCAAAAATGGAAAAACGTCTAAAGGTTAGTTAGTTGTAGATGTATACAATTCCTGTTTTTTTTTCTTAAAATCATACATCTTCATATGCTGTTTATATATTTACGTAATGTGCATAGGATTTCTGACAACATTCCTGGCGTGTGCACCTGTTTACGTTCATTCAGTCACAACATAGAACCTGATGCGAATGTACATCAGTCCAAGTCGCCATATCCCGTTCGCACAGTGATAAAATCGTCAGCCCAAACCCCAGAATAGTTAAGGTAATAACAGTATCGATAGTGTTAGGAAATATTCAGCGTCGAAGATACGATTCGAGAAGGAAATATAATTTTTTATTTATTTACTTTAACACATAGATATTGGTACAAGGAGGCACCAAATACATATGCGCCACACAAATCTCATTTGATATGTGTGAGGGCTGTGATACTGCGCAGGTGGTTTTCTTAGGGGGCAAAATCCGAAGCCTTCGATCTGAAGGTCTGATCCACAAGGGAATAGAGCAGTCCCATGGTAGTCGGTGACCAATAATTGGTTCATACACCATTTGTTCCTTCAGGATACTGGAGCCCATGTGCACGATTGGTTTGGAATCAGGGTTTTCCAACTATCTTAGGTGGACTCACCGTGTTCACTGGTTTGGTTAAAGCGCCGGACATTCGCTTTTCGTTCTCTCAATTTCGTAAACAACAGTAATGTCGCGAGAAGGTAGTGAGTAGGACTTCTCTGACAGTGGTTGTATGCACGTGGACATGTGAGAGCATTTCGAGAAGGAGAACTGACTCTCCCCTTTCTCGGCCGTACCAGGGCATTTGGGGGCATATAATAAATTAGTGAAATAAAAACAAGAAAAGTTCTGAGGAATTCAGAAGCTCAGAATTTGAGGGCAAATAGTGTATGGATGTACCTGCATCATTGCAAACGATTTTGAACACTTTCATTCAAGTCTCTAACTATTAGTTACGATAATCACGCGGACAGCAACCGGGTAGTCTACACCTACTAACAAGAGTCAGTTCAATTGACTTCATGGACTGATACCATACTACTCATACAGTAGAAAACATCTCCCATCGAGGTAGGCGGAGGTTGTGTATACGTAACATATGTCCCAACCACCTCAGTTGATGAAGACTCATCACTTATTCGGTTGATTTGCCATATTTACTTAGTACTCCATTCTTAATCCAGACATTGGCTACCCTGTGGTTCCAAAATACACGAGATATACTCTGAAGACACCTATGGTCGAATACTAGTAACATACGAATATCCTTTATCCTTAATCGTCATGTTTCACACGTGTTAGGTAAAGTGAAATGAAATGCTAAGCAGTGAACTCATAATTAGTTTGGCAGATGGATATCTTGCCCACGTGACAAGTGACACGAGTTGGTAAAGGCCTATCGAACCTTTTGAATCCGTACCAAGATGTCGTCAAACACCCGAACATCAGGACTGATGAGACTCAAGAAAAGTTAGGTGGTGAACACGCCCAACGTCTCCACTAATATCGTCAGCTCAGTTCTAGATCAGTTTTTGAATTTGTGACAAATAAAGTTCAAACGTTTCTTCAGTCGAGTTATAATTATTGTCTTAATAATATCAACTATTGAAAAAAATCTCTAAATACTTTTCGTTTTTTCGTATTCGACTTCAACATGTTTATGTTTTGTGTTGTGATCTGCTATTTGTACTGTTTGATGGGGTTTTTGCTGAAGACTTGGTAGGTTTCACCAGTTAACTCTTATCTCCGTGATTCGTATATTTCCATTTATATATTACGTAAGTATAAAATATAGAATTTTAATTAAAGTTCTTTTTATACTTTTTTCCAGAGTACCCTGGAACGTGTACGTAGTTTAGAATTATCATTAAAAGAAGCCAAAGAAGGTGCTATGCGTGATCGTAAACGTTATCAAGTTGAAGTGGAACGAATAAAAGAAGTTGTACGTCAACGTAATGTTACAGCACGTCGTGGTCAATCACAAATAGCTAAACCAATACGTGCAGGACATGCTCCTATTAGCAGTCCTCATGGTGGTGGTGTACCAATTAATTCACAGCCAGTTATAAGACCAGATCTTCTTGGTGCACCATGATTCAAATATATTCTTACTGATGTTCTTTTTATCTGTGTTTAACCTTTATCTATGTGTTATTCATATGAATTCACTTGGTATATACATCAAGAATATATTCACTGCTTACATACATTAATATGATACATATAATACTGTGAACAAGATAGGAATTCAATTAGCTAATGCACATACATGAGAATATATAATGAAGAAATCTATCCATTATGTAATGGTATTTAAGTACAATAGTATATACATATACATATGTAACTCGTTTTCTCTTGTTGTTTCTACTTTTTGTTGTTGTTGACCATAACCACTGCACATTATCTCTTTTACACACACACCCACACATACATACATAAATTACACTATGAGCCTTAAATTTTATGTATATTCATCCCCGGTGTGTTTTTATGGTAGTCGATTTCTTTCATATTTCTTGCTTATTTTTCATTCACTCAATGAATTAATGTTTGTTTTCTTTTGGCTTGTCATTTATGATAAATTAACCATGACTACTGATTGAGTGATGACAACCAGTTGACTGGACTCTATTCTCTGTGTTATTATTATTATTATTAGTAGTAGTAGGAGTAATATTATTTTGTTTTATTATGATGATGTGTGCATTTGCGTGTGCAATTGCACTCTACTTTGCTTATTGTGCCTATTCTTGATTGTTCATTTTATTATTATTATGATCTATTTCATGTTGAATGATTAACTTTACTTTCTGTCTTCTATTACTTTCACAAGTTAATATCATATTCAATTAAAAGGTTTTGTGTACGACTACTACTACTAATAGTACTACTGATAAATATTAGTAATCGGAACGTGAATAAATAATGATGTTATTTTCTTATATGATTCAAGAAGTTCATTTCTGCGCCATACACTTACATGCACTGTGAATTAATACTAAAAGGAAATAATTGATAAAGATTTGTTGACGGTAATCAAACTAAGATGATTGTTTACTATGGTGTTGAGTAGTAACCATAGTAGATCATCTCTAAAATGTTCACATGAACATACCTAACACATCTGTGTATGTATCATATTTTGTTTCGATTTCTTTTTCTTAGTTTATGCACGTACGTTATGTAAGTGTATCTGTTGTACACACACGCACACACACATTTCGTACGTGCTAACATCAATAAAGGAGGTTGTATTCCTATGAACAATAACAAATCATTGACAGTGAATTATTTTGTGTGTGTGTGTGTGCCAATCAATTCTACATTAATTGATTCTTTTGAATCGATCAAAGTTGATTGGGTTTTTTTCTTCAGTTGCCTCACTTGATATTATCTTGATTCTTATTGTTATCATCATTATCATCACTATTATCAGTGAATGTAATTGTTAGTTGAACTATACATGCGTATATTTACATCTATTTTAATTGCTTTATTCTATGTGTTTATTTCTTTGTGTGTACGTTTTCCACTCTGTTTTGTTCTATCTCTTTTTCCACATGAAATAGAAGTATAATGTTCACATATAATAATATCGCTTATGTGTTACTGCTAGCAGTTAATATAAGAGAATAAAATGTGATAATTTAATTATTTTCGTTGTTATTTCATCTTTTTGTTATCAAGATAGTTGTGCAATATGATGTTGAGTTGGTTTAAGTTAAATATTTATACCATTAAATATTGACTCAATGGTCTAGAAGTTAAGCGTTTGCATGCGAGATCAAAGATTGTTGGTTGGAATCCCACGTATATGTGGTCATGTATATACGTATCGTTAAGATATTCCAGACTACAGCGAAACGGTTGTCTAGTTCTTTCAAGTTTTCAATAGTGATCTAACATTGTTCAGTTCATGATTTCAATGAGATAATAACATAACTATGACGATTTTTTGTGGATATCGAGTTGTTTAATTTCAATTATCATGCTTTTAATTGTCTAGCTTAAATAATTGAAATGTTTGCATAACAGAACTACCCCAGTTAAATAAATAGATAGAAAGTAAACTAACAATTGGCTGGTAGACCAATTGTACACCATTTGTTTTAACGTGGAACCATTTATTATATTGTGTAATGACATGTGTTCCTCAACCTAATCTAACATCAAAGGAGTGGGCAGTCGATATGAGTGGTTAACGTTATTATTATTATCTCTGGATCGATAGTTTACTGAATTAAGATATATATATTAATAAGTGTACTGAATAACATAAGATATTAATTTACGGTGGTGGTTAGGGGTAGTTGAAAGGAAGCCCTAGACCTAGGTTCCGTCCTGTTTAGCACTCGTCAACAAACTGTAATTATAACCTTGAGGGAACTGATACTCCCTGCGCATTGGGTTTCGTATCGCCTAGCATCACAATCAGACGTTACCAATGATCTATACGAGCCGCAACTGACCTCTAGTAAGACTGAGTTATATTTACAATTGATTGATCACTAGTAATCAGTGTCATGTGTGGTAGGTCTTTCTCAGTTCAGATCAAGTTGGAATATGGCCACTAGTCTAGATAACTTCACATCGCCTACACTATGTTAAGATGTAAGTTGGTGTTTGGAGATAGTCGATATAGTACATGTGATTTCGGATCATCTAGGCTTGTAGTCACATTTCAACTAGATCAATAGTATTCTATCTGAATTAAGGATCTGACACACATGACATTGGTAAATACCCATTGATCAATTAGTTGTAAATGTCAACATACACGAATTTATAGATTGTTCACATTGGATTTTTAATACTTCTACTATATTGAATTGATAAGGATTTTTAGTGAAGCCACTAACTTTCCAGGAAATACTGTTGTTTAAATTCTTTAGAATATCAGTCAGTTACAGCGTACGACCAGACACACACATGCATTGATCCAAATTCCCACACCTCATAAGCACAACAATATAAACACTGGATTCATAAAAGTAGTTAATTCAGTGGTGGTAATATATAAAGGAAAGATTACATATAAGGATATAGTACAGGAGGGAAGAATTAGTTCATAGAAAGAAAGATATGAAGTAGTTTTAGTCTCATAGTTTAAGCGAAGACAGAGAATGTATACACCTACGCCGTTGTGATCGATTCTGAGCAATGTCACTCAACCGGCGGCCTGTTGAATATCTGGGCTACCTGTTCCTCCTATCTGGATATTTCATCAAGTTATCTGTTTTGTTGTTTGTTTTAGCACATCACTATGTCTATTGTGCGCACAACCTATTCAGGCGCGTTTATGAAAAGTTTACAACCTTTCGCTATACGGGATACAAAGATACAATCAGCGACATCATGGTTGCTGGCAATATGCATTGAAACAAATGAACAGTAATCAAATGTGGATTACCGAACTTCTAACATCTAACTGGTCATCATTCAAAATTTATCGTCACAATCGACCAAGGTATAGAAAAGGAAACTTGTTGGAATACTTTATGCTGAGAATTCTATTGTACCAAAAATATATGTTGAATAAAGCTTCTAATAATAATAATAATGTCACCAACGGTCTCCAACCATTGGTTACGATAGTCACGCGGACCCCAACCAAGTAGTCTGTATCTACTAACATGGTTCAGACTAGAAGTTAGTGACTTCAAGGACTGATGCCGTTTTGATTTGGCCGCTCCTAACTTTCTTCCAACCATCTCCAACACCAGTTAGCATTGCACGTCGTGGTAATCGGTGTTCAGGCATACATAACACGTGGCCAAACCATCTCAGTCGATGTAAATTGACAACCTCATCAATCGATTTACCATCATTCTTTAATTCCCTGCGTTTAACCTCACTATTACTTACTCGGTGATCCCAGCAGATGTCAGCAAGCCCGACCACCACATCAAGGTAGCAACAACGGTCGGGAAATACTTTAGAATATCCCATTTCTTTATTCAAGAAAACGTTGAATATGTTCTCAATAATAAGTTAACTTGATCAATCTATTTCCTCAGTCTTCGGATATTCTTTTTCAAGCACCAAAATATATTGATTTGTTGAAATTCAATCATCAATTTTATTGAATTTAGAAAATAACCAATCTGAATTAAGTAAAATACTTGAGTCACGTGATACATGTACGATTGGTATGAAGAATAATCTAAGTCAATAAAAATTGGTTAGTAACTGTGATGTTAAATTGTTTCTTTCTTTTTTTCTTTTCATTTCAATACGATCAATATATACGATATTTTGTTGAATGACAGTGATATAATTTTAAGTCAAATAAAGGTTATATGATAAATGACTTTAGTAACAAATTTTAATATCAAGACTCAGTAACTAAGTGAATAACGCCAATGACGTTTGATGCGAACGATACTGAGTTCGAGTCCTAAAGGAAATATCAACTCTGAAATGCAGGTACATCTAGTTGAAGAGTTCCCAAATAGGATGAAATGCGCATCAAACTGAATTTCACTGCTAGTTCACTATCCATCTTTGTATGTATATATGCCAATGAGAGACTGATCAATTGTAGTCCTTAAACAACAATAGGAAGATTCAAATAAGACAATACCAAGTGAATTGTGACGTTTATTATCGTTGTAAAATTCTTTTTGATTTGACACGGCAGTATTCAATAGGTGAATTGTTAACATTCAATGATCCAGTTATATACTACTCATAAATCATTACTGCCCAAATAAGTAGTAGGCTTTTTTGTCAGTTCATAGGTGTATCTTAGAAAATTTTGTTAATATATGACAGTTTATTGTTTCAACTGAATCACACAGATAAAAATGTTTAGAAAATGCCATTGTATACAAATAACTTCATTATTAGATTTTCAGAACAGAATACTTGATTATAAGTAAGATACTGGTAAGTTGTTTGATGAAGATGGTATGTAACTTTTTTGTGGATTAACTCCTGTATTTGAATTATTTCACAATAGTGTCAACTCTATTTACACAATATTAAAGTGGAAATGTTACCATAGTACACATCTGCATATTGTGAGCAAAACCTTACTTTCACTTATTCTCTTTCTTCTGTTGGTCGACTGGATTATGAAAACTCCCACATCTCAAGGAAAACACAGAATACAATGGACAGTCAGGATGCAGCTAGACGATTTAGACTTCACAGATGGCCTAGATCTTCTATCCCACACACAGCAACAAATGCAGGTAAAGACAGTCTGTGGAGCAGTAACTGTTACAACAGTAGGCCTCAACATACGAGATAAAGCAAGATCCTGAAATGTTACACCAACCGAATTACACTTCGTGGGCAGGTTCTGGAAAAGGTGGAAAGTTTTACGTAATCGGACAGCATCATTGATAACCAAGGTGAATATGATGCAGGTGTGAAGGCATAGGTTTGCAAAGCAAGGTCTGAATTAATATAATTGAGGAACATGTGGAACTCAAAACAACTGTCAGTCAATGTCAAAGTCATAATCTTCAATACAAATGTTATGATATTTCTATTGTATGGAGCTGAAAATTGGAGAACTACTACAACCATCACCAAATAGATACAGGTATTTATAAATTTTCTACACAAGATACTCCATATCTGTTGGCCAGATATCATCAGTAATAACCTACTATGGCAGAGAACAAACAAGCTTTCAGTTGAAGAGGAAATTAAGAAAAGACGTTGAAATTGAATAGGTCAAACATTTTGGAAATAATCAGACTGCATCACGAGGTAAGCCCTAACTGGGAGAACTGAAGGCAAAAAGCTGAGGCAGACCTAACACCTCACTGCACAGGGAATCGGGGGCGTACATCAAATGAATAAATAGGACTTGGAGACAACTGGAAAGGGAACCCCAGGACAGAGTTTGGTTGGAGAACCCTGGTTGGTGGCCTACACTCCTCGAGGAGCAACAGGCGTAAGTAAACAACATGGTAACTTGGACTAAGGCACTTTTGTGCTAGATCTTACATTGATTCAGATTGACTTGCGAAAAACATCGCAACTCCTGAAGTCTACAATATATACCTATTAGGATTCGTTACGAAGGAGCTAGACCATATCGAAATCGAAGTAGTCAGGCCGACATTAATGGCATTTCACTATATCGCAAAGTGAATAAAGTAAGTATGCGAAACACTTTGTCAGTAATTTCAAAGTAATGAACTCACTACATGATATGAAAGGTTGTAGAGAGTGTGGGTACTCACAATTGATTGATCACTGGGTGGTGATCAATGTCATGCTTGTCTAGTCCTTATTAGTGCAGATCGAATGCTATCGATCATGTTGCAATGTGGCCATCAGTCTAGGTGACTCGACACTGCGGGCACTATGTATTGAGATTAGATGGTGGTTGTAGGTAGTCAACAGGAAACCCTGGACCCGGGTTTCGTGCTACTTGGCACTCGTCAGCAGGGTGTGATCTTGAGGGAACTGGTGCTCTCTGGCGGATTCGATCTCGTGTCACCCAGCTAATAAGGACCAGACACACATGACATTGATCACCATCGTGCTGACGAGTGCCAAGTAGCACGAAACCCGGGCTTCCTGTTGACTACCTACAACCACCATCTAGAGTGTGGGTACACACTGCTGACGAGGGACAGTTCCAAATTAAGTAAAAGTTTCATTCAGTACTCATTAACTGATGTCAGTCAT